GTATTAGATTAGTTGATACCCATATTTGTGTAGACGGTCCGCTTTTATTTTCAAATAGTATTTATTTCATCTGCAGACCTGGACACTGAAGAAAAAATTATTAAAGATAATGTGACCTCCAGCCGGATTCAATCTTGCTTCCCTTTACAGAAGTAAACATCGTCTTATCAGGCGAGCTTTAACTGCACGTTGTGGAACGAGGTGGTTTAAAGCATAATTGAATGTACATTAAAGGTAAATAAAATTACTTGACTGTAAAGCTATCCGTAGCCGAGCGGTTAAAAGTCCGCCGGATAAGACGGTTGTTTCCCCAATAAATCTTCTGCTAGAGTGTACTTTTAATATTAATAAGTTTTCTGCAGTATGCAGTTCGGCAGAAAAAAAAATGAATACGGTTTGAAAATATAAGAAATCATTTACTCAAATCCGGGTACTAAAACAACGGATATATATATATATATATATATATATATATATATATATATATATATATATAATATAATATTATAGACTCTGATATTAAGGACTGTTCTTCCATAAATAAATCAAGTTTTAAAACAGCAACAATAAAAATAATAATAATTACATATGTATATATATATATATATGGATTACTCTCTCGTCGTATTCGACCAATGAGAGTCAAGCAGCTCAGTTACGAGGAACCGACAGATACATATGATTCGATTATAGTGGGGAAAGTTTTGTGCAGAACCATCCACACATTTTGAAGAACCGAATACAGAAATTGGATACACTCCGTACCACAAGGCCCCCAAACAACCCTTCGAAGGATTTAAATTAAAAGATTTTTTTCCTAGAGCAGTTGCCAGCCAAGGTTATAGAACCCAATGTGTTCTTGCTATTTAGCCATAGCTGGAGGAGGGAGAAGAAAAGTATTAATACCTTTACGTTTTCGCAAGGGTATTAACATTTAAGTGAATTCGAACTCAACTCTTCGATTTTCTATCCACTACTTCACCGTGCCTCCTCACATATATGCGTGTATATATATATATATATATATATATATATATATATATATATATATATATATATATATATGTATGTATGTATGTATGTATATATTACATAATTTGAAACAATAAGTGTTATCTGAATACCTGAAATAATATAAAACAAAATAACAGAATAAAAATCGATAATTACTCTGTGAAGCAAAAAGAAATATAGAAGAAAAAGATTGTTTGATAAACTTCACAACCAGTCTCTCAATACACAAGCCTCTAAATGTTTTAATGGCCAGCAGGAAAAAAAATAAGAGTTCGAGCAGAGAGTTCTCGATTGCGCATGCGTGCAATCCACAGCAGGCGAGAAAAATGGGCAGAAAAGGCATTGAAGGGGAAGCGTATTTGACAGTCACATTTTCCGGATGCAAGACTAAGAAAAAGAAAGGGCGTAGAAGGAAGGCAAAAGAATGAATAGGTACTAGGGAGAAAAAGGCTCCGTTTGTCTGTGGCGAAATTGCGCCCCTAAGAGAAAGTTGATGAAAACGTAGCATACTTTAAGCGGAGTACAGCCCGGAACAAACATGGTTGCTTTTGTTGCTCGTTCCTGCGCCTTCGGTATTTGGCGCCACCTGCCGATGCTTGGGTTCCTTCAAAAGGGAGACGAAATCAGGCAATAAACTGCTTGCATCGTTTTATATATATATATATATATATATATATATATATATATATATATATATATATATATATATATATATATATATATATATATATATATATATATATATATATATATACAGTATGTATTTACAAAAAAAATGCAAATATAAATAGAAGCGTATATAATTTATGTATTTATATAATATGTATTGAATAATGCACATTAACACAAATAGATGTCTATCTTAAAGGCAACCGCCGTGTGATCAATATATATATATATATATATATATATATATATATATATATATATATATATATATATATATATATATATATGCATGTATGTATGTATGCAAACGAGCCAATTTATCCATATCCAAGCAGGAATTTTATTTCCAACGTTTTCAACTTATTATTTGGGCACTAAATATTAATGTATACTGAATTCCCTCTTACCTCTTTACCTATTTTAAACCATTCACGCTCCTCTCCCCTTTTTGGAGACGGTGTAAATTAATGGCTATTAATATATATATATATAACACTGGATTTTTCATAAAGCTAAAATTAAGTTTATTATTATTTATTACATATATTACATTATTACATATATTACATATTGCATTATTACATATATTATATATATTGCATTATTACATATATTACATATTAAATTATTACACACACACACACACACACACACACACACATATATATATATATATATATATATATAAATTTGATTTAAAATATGTTTTTCCGTTCTTTCTTTATATATATATATATATATATATATATATATATATATATATATGTATATTACATTATTCCGTATATTACATATATCATTACATATATTACATATATTACATATATTACATATTACGTATATATTACATTATTACATTATTACATATATTATTACAAATATTTCATTATGTATTACATATATTATCCGTTTTATTTAATACATATGAAAACCGTTTTAATTGTTTCTAATTTTGGAACTCTTGAAGTGATGTAATTTTTAAATATTTCGTAAAATTTTTCGTTTGTTATTCCGTCGTCGCAGTATGAAATATTTGATGAAGTGCTGTGTCATTTAAGACTTGAAAATATTATCTGACTTGACCTGGCATCTCGGATTCAGTCACTTTCTCACCGTTGTCACGTAGCTACTCTGTACCGTTTCTATACATATTTTCATGCTAATTGGTCTGATGAACTTTCCTTTTGGTACATCGAATTATTAATTTAAGCGCTGTCGTGGATTGGCAGTAGTGTCTCATCATTTTACAGTTTAAATAGGTAGACGTAATCGTAAGTTCTGTGTTAATAGTTTTTTTTCTCTTGCAATACTCATTTGTTGATCTATTTCTGCAATGGTCATCGTTAGCTTCTTTCTTCGTAATTTCTGTTCTTTTATTACTCTCTCTCTCTCTCTCTCTCTCTCTCTCTTTAATAATGTCTTTCTTTTTTCTCTTATTGTTTCACACTTGGCTCTCAGTTGCAGTAATGCCTTGCTTGAGGTTAAACGACTTAAAAAGAAAGATCTTCGTTTAAAGCCTTTTTTTAATCATTGTCTGTATTTAGGAATATGAGAATATAATGTGTCAGTCAATTTCCCGCAATAACGACCAGAAGAGAACTCCTGTAAACATGCAGATTTATGGAAATTAATTTGGGTTAACTTGAAGCAATTGATAAACCTGCCACTGGGACAGACAGTTCACTATGTCTTGCTAGACAAGAGATTTGAGTCATCATAAATATGTCTCTACAGAATAACGCTGAGGTTGCGATGGGTAAATTGTCACTATTTTATATTTTTCATTTCGCGATGGCGCATTATTTTTTATTAATTTGTCAAATGCACAGTATAGTAAAATCAACCTGTGGGGAAAATAAAGTACCATAACGCAATTCACTCCACCTGAAATTTGGAAACGGCATTCGCACCAGAAGATCCAATACGAACATTTCAGAATGTGTGGGTGTCAATCTGAGGACAGTGCAGAGAACTTTGAAAGGGTTGGATGAGTCTAATGGTGATTACGAATGTGCTTTGAGTGATCACTAGTGATGGCGATATTATGCCTCCATTTATCTTCCAACATGGACTCAGACTCAATACGGAGGCCTACATCCAAATTCCTTGAGTAGGTAATGCTGCCCGGAGCCAAGAGAGTAGTTGCTGGAAGATCTTATATCTGGCAACAGGACTCTGCACCCTGCTACATAAGCAGGAAAACCCAGCCATGGTTGTCAGACAATTTCTGCAACCACATCACCCCACTACATCTGTCCATCAAACTCCTTAGACTGCAACCCTCTTGATTATTATGAGTGAGGCGCAGTTGAGCGAGCGACCAACAAAAATCCTTGTAACACCAAAGATGAATTAAAGGCAAGGATTATGGAAGCATTCTCCAACTTAAATAAGAAGAACGACCAAAAGAGCTGCAGAAGATTCCGAGGTCTTCTGGAAGTCGTGATTGAAGCCCATGGCGATTTTATTCAATACCTTTACTAAGTCTGGTAACAAGACTTTGTACCATGCCACACAAGCAGCAGGACCCACTCATGGCTATTAGATAATTTCTGCGATCAAATCACCCCTGGCATCTGGCCACATAACTCCCCAGACTGAAGCCCCCTTGATTATTGTGTGTGGGGAACAGTTGAGTGAGAGACCACATCCAAAAGAAAAATGTCTATGTTACACCAAAGATGAACTGAAGGCAAGGATTATGGCATCATTCACCAACTGAAAGAAATACCCCATCCAGAAGAATTGCAAGAGATTCCCAAGTCGTTTGGAGTTTTGAAGCCAATGGCGATTTTATTGAATAAATTTACTCTTTAGTATCTCAAGGTATGCTTTTGTAATTTTGGTAGATAGGTCTGTTAAAATGAAATGTCAATATTATTTTCCTTTTTGCGTAATTTAGACGACAATTTATCCATCGCACCCTGTACATGACTAGAAAGCATTAGTTCCGACGATTTTTTTAAAAGGAAAATGGAAATAGACACTTCTACTTCGAATCAGAAAGGAACAGTTACAATTACTTGGGATCGTCCCGAGTAAAGAAACTTTGGAAAATCTGACCTTTCCGAGATAGATTGAATGCTAAAAAGACAGAAGAAAGCAGCGAATAACCTACTTAACGAGCATGTACAAAGGGTTGGCAGAACAGGGATTTGGAGAGACAGCAAAAAAAAAGCCAAAATTAAAAGGAGATACAAAAGATAGGAAGCTGTGGAGAGCCATGTCATGGATGTTCACGTCATGAACAAAAAGAAGTAGAAGAAGAAGAAAAAGAAGTGTTATTTCCTGTTGTAATTTTCCTCTTCCAACATCTTATGTCCGATCAGATTCCATCCCTGTCATATCTGGTGGTTCTGGCTGGCATATTTCTTCATGGCTCAAGCATTCTTCCTATTCTAGCTAATAGTAATGATGTAGTCACGATTCGGTATAATGGTTATTTATACCAATGGATGGGTAGATAGCAGCGCCGGAAGAAAAATCGGCAAGTTGAATTCATATTCCGCTCGAAACTGTTGTCTTATCTCCGTAAATATACCCTTAGAAAAGGCACGAGTCGATCTCTTCTTTTTCCTGGTATATGTGAAAAATAACACAGGTGAGTGAAGACTATCTAGTCTTGGGTGATAGGCTAAGAGAAGCAAAATTGAGTTAAAACCAAATAGGCGTACCTCCGTTGATAATGCAGTGGGAACCCTTTGCTATCTGAACAATAATTTTTCGAAACTCGTAGAATGGCGATGCAGAATCACAATGGACCGTGCAAAATAACAGAAAGCAATTAGTAATTTTCAGCAGTAGCAACAACTAAAATGGATAGCACATGTAACTAGATGAGGAAGTGATGGCATAATTCCACGCCACTTAAAACAAAATGTTAAGAATGAAGCCGATGCCAATATTGCAAAAAGCGATAACAGTTACTGAACTTGTGCACCCCATTCTCCAGAAAACTGTTTTAATATAGATATTTAATGAAACGGAAACACTGGAAAGAAGTGGACCATCCAGAAGAATTGAAGGAGATTCCTAAGTCGTCTGGATGTTGTGGCTGAAGCCGATGGCGATTTTATTGAATAAATTTACTCTTTAGTATTTCAAGGTATTTTTTTTGTGTGTGTGTGCGTGTGCGTAATTTAGACGACAATTTATCCATCGCACACTGAATGTCAAATATCTCCTTGTAAAGGAAACGGCTAATTACCATTTTAACTTCGCAGAATGGATATGTCCCCATCGTAAGAAGCGAACTACGGCTGCTATATTGGGTGGACGTTAGCCGTCTGTGTTATATATACACTGATCTTTCACATCAATAAGAGAAAAAATTTCTTTGGAAGAAAAGAAAACAGTGTTGAAGTGTTGTGTCATATCTATTCTCCTATATTGCAGGGAATGGTGGACAATTTTCTTAGAGATGAAAAATTGACACGAAACGACAAAGGTGTGACTCTACAAACGAAACAGAGGTTTCGTTCATTAAGCCCCATGAGTTAAAATTTAACCACTGAAACCACCCTTAACCTGAAAATTAGTTGGTGGCTGGAGGGTAGCGAAGATAGCCTGGTTAAGTTGCTTAGTTTGACGACATATCAAAAAGACCATTTAATGCCGTCATCTTACGTCAAAAGACAAACATTGGCACGGTTTATACTTGAATTAAATGGTGGTTTATGCATGAGCCATAAGATAGATATTGATCCAGTTTATAGCTGAATCGAAAGGTAAACAATCATCTGGCTTATACTTCAATATAAATGTGAACTAGTTTGATTAATACTTGAAAAAGAATGTAAAAATTGGTTCGGTTAATACTTTAGTCATCAGATAAATATTGGTCGAACTTGCACTTAAGACAAAAGCTAAGCATAGGCGGTGGTTATATACGTGTATAAAAATTGGTCGAGTTTATACTTGAGGCAAAAGGAAAAAGTCTTTCTGGTGCATACTTGAGACAAAAGTAATATTAGTACAGCTTCATACTTGAATTAAATGATAACCATTGTTACAGTTCATTTCCGAGTTTGAAATCATCATCCAGAGATTTGACCACTTTTGGGAGCTGGGGTGATGGGTGATGTGGTCGCTGTTTTCTAAGATCAAATGACAGGATACGTGTACCGAAAATTGGAATAGATTAGGAAAGCGTGAAAGAAGAGAGGGATTACAAGATAATGAGGAGTGTTACTTATAAACCGTTGTGGAATATTCACCGTTTCTTCTAGAAAATATTTATTATAATACTTATTTTGTTCAGCTTTCTTATATTCCGTTTCAGCTTCTTCAACAATTTTTCCTTTTCATTCTTTTTTCTTCCTTTCTTTTTTTTATTTTCATAGAACAATTTTTCTTCAGTTATTCTTTTTCTTGGCTCTTTATTTTCTTATTTAAAGAACAATATTTTTTCTTCATTCCCTTCTTTTATTCGTGCTTTTCCGTTTTCCAGAAGAAAATCTTCTTGATCTATTTTCTTTCTTTCTTTCTTTCTTTCTTTCTTTCTTTTTTTCTTTCTTTCTTTCTTTCTTCTACTGCTGTTTCTTTCCTTCCCTCTTTCTTTCTTTCTTTCTTTCTTATTTTCATAGAACAATTTTTTATTTCCTTCGTTCTTTCTTTCTTTTCTTAAAGTACAATATTTCTTCATTTCCTTCTTTTATTCGCCCTTTTCCCTTTTCCTGCAGTAAATCTTTTCCCTTTCTTTCTTCTTTCTTTCTTTTACTACTGTTTCTTTCCTTCCCTCTTTCTTTCTTCTTTCTTTCTTTCTTTCTTTCTTTCTTCTACTACTGTTTCTTTCTTTCTTCTACTACTGCTTCTTTTCTTCACTCTTTCTTTCTTTTCTTTTCTATTCTTTCTTCTTTTTCTTTCTTTCTTATTTTCATAGAACAATTTTGTTATTTCCTTCGTTCTTTCTTTCTTTTCTTAAAGAACAATATTTCTTCATTTCCTTCTTTTATTCGCCCTTTTCCTTTTTCCTGCAGCAATTTTCCTCCTTTCTTTCTTTCATTCGTTCTTTTACTACTGTTTCTTTCTTTCTTTTACTACTACTTCATTCCTTCACTCTTTCTTTCTTTCTTATTTCTATAGAACAGTTTTGTTATTTTCTTTATCCCTTCTTTCTTTTCTTAACGAACAATATTTCTTCATTTCCTTCTTTTATTCGCCCCTTTTCCTGCAGCAAATCTTTTTCCTTTCTTTCTTTCTTCCTTTCTTTCTTTCTTTCTTTCTTTCTTTGTCAGTTTCTCTTCTCTGTCTTTTTGAATAATCTCTTTTTTTTCTTTTTTATATTCCTCTGATCTGTCATTTTAAAATTTCTCCAATAGAAAATAGTCTTCTTTCTTTCTTTCTTTCTTTCTTTCATCGCAGCAAAAAAGGCTCATTTTCCGACTGTGCATTTCACAAGCCGTGCCTGCTGCGCCAACACCAACAAAGCCCAGCGCCACGCATGCGTGATGTGGATTTTAATAAACCTACCTCGCCGAAAATCCTTGTCCGCTCACAATATGGCCGCTATTAATCCCCTATAAATCATATTGCACAGTCACCACAACTCCCCAGCATTTAACCAATGACCACCCGGTCCATCTTCCCCACACTCGTGCCGGCAGTCTTTCGGCTTTGACCAATTTTCATTCCAGAACGCTACATCCAATATCCGAATACTTTCGCCAGCAGTGTCGATGGCGTTTTGACCGTTTTCGTAATCGTCGGTCTGTATTCATGGCGAAGATTTTCGCTATATTCAGAAAGATGCATTTATATTTGTTTGTATAGCTCTCTGTTTGTATTTACGTGTTCCTTTCTTGCTGAGTATGAAAGATGATATGGATGTATTCGGGTATGTATATGTATATGGAAACATATCTTATCAAGTCTTTATATGAAATAGGGATTTAATAACTTTAGCTAAATCCAACACAAGGCCATATTAGTGAAATGAGTGTGAGAAAACACACGCAATGAACTACTAGACTGGCAAAAGAACTTATATATATATATATATATATATATATATATATATATATATATATATATATATATATACTGGCGTTGCCTGTGCTTGATTCAAAAATCGTACGACTCATACAGCAATCGCTATCACTTGGCTTAAAATAGTTTTGCCCTTCCTTGCCTTTAAAGGAGTGCCCTTTGCCGTGCTGATGTTGCTACATGCCTTACTTCTTGCCTATCTCACACTGCGAATTTTTTATAAGCTTTATACTAAACATTAAATCTGTTACGAAAAAAGAACTAAGCAAAATGAACACAAAACGGTCAGCTTAAAAAAAAAAGGACTCGTAACTGGAAAAACCGAATGATAAAAGAATGTTAACAACAAATACTTTTTCACACCCAACCCAGTTCTGCGGAATCAGAATCAACGTTGAGTTTGAGCAAGCGAATGAGCCAATTGGGGTAAAGTACAATGCAGATTTAAATTTTTCCCACTTGTGACTAATGCAGCTATCAATTTTTTTGCATGCTAGCATGCTAGTTAACATTCGTGTCAGTCAGCTGTTGGATCTCACGCTGGCCAATAGAATCTTCCTGCCTATTTGTGGCAGCCAGCTATAGGCTCTCACTCTGGCCAGTAGAAAATGGCTGCAAACTACATGAAAACTGCCGTAGAAGCATGAAAAAATCGATTATTTCCCCTATCGATGAGAATTGGGTAATGCAAGTCGGTCTTGGCCTTCTAACTAACTTGGAGCATGTGCATGTAAATTTTGGTGCAAATTCGTCGAAAATTGCAGACGTGCATTCGTTGCACACACACACACACACACACACACACACACACACACACACACACATCCTATTTCATATATATATATATATATATATATATATATATATATATATATATATATATTCAAAAAGTAACCGACTTTATTTTTCACGAAGTAACTAATGCCACGTGAACAGAATGTTTTAGATGGTGTTGACGCCACTCCTACCGTGCTTGTATGAAGACCTTCACGCCGGTAGGTTGCGTTAATTCGTGGCTGTTACGCCTAGAGTACAGGCGTGCAGTGCGCGTTCGTAGCATTTTCTTTTCTACGGTAGATGTCCGAATGCATCGAGCAGTGTTATTGCATCTGATTTTGCCAAAAGATTGATAAGATTTAAGATTAAACCATCTCGAAGATTCACCGGATCATTGGCAACCACTTCAAATATGGCCGAAGTTCAATATATATATATATATATATATATATATATATATATATATATATATATATATATATAACCACGATTTCATTAGCCACATAGGCGTAAGGCTAAAAAGCACCCCAAGAAAATCCCAAATTCTAGTCGAAATTAGTTAGATATAAAAAAAATAAAAATAAATAAAAATAGATAAAATTCAATGTTTTCAAATTGCGAGCGAATATGTTCTATGATCGGCCATACCCTCCTCTTCTCTTCACAAATTCTTTTCCTCTTTATCTACTCTTCCGCCCATGAACTTTGAAGCGTCCAGACGCGAGAATGACCTGGTTCCAGAATTTCGCAGCTATCAGGCGGTTGACCATAAGTGAATTACCGCACCATCAGGATCTCTTGCTGCGATTCACGTGATCAGACCCTACTAAGCGTGGATTAAAATTTTGGCCATCACACAAACACTGCATGATTTGCGCCCCATGCTTCTGCGTACCCGGTCAAGGACGAAGAGAACCCACGTCACTGTCTTTGGGGACCGCAAAAATCTAAAAAAAGGATTTTCAGTTTCCGTCTGACCAGTGGCAGATGAACGTCGCTGGGCAACTCGTCCCTATTCCAAATGGACTGCCCACTGAGATGAAGAAGACGGCAAAGCCTGTCGACTAGGGATGAAAGGACTGCTATGAAATTGAATCGACCCAACGAAACGGCTGTACGAGATGCTGTGGACATCGAACACTCCCGAAAGAAAAGTAACCCAGGAAAATTGCCGGCCGACCAAAATAGTGTTTTAGCATAAGAAATCTCGCTTCGGCGAATCAGAACTTTGTGTGGAAATATCAACTCGACTGACAGATAAGTTGATTCTCTTCGCTTGAACATTTTTTTTATATATATGTATGTATTCGCTCGCACCTCTTGTTCTTTCATGGTCTCGTTCTCCTTTGTTAAATACATTTTCCTTTTTTTCCTTTCTTTACCTGTTTATGTATTTATAAATAAATGTTTTATTTTGAAATCCATCGTCTTGTGTCTGTACTTCGTTGACTCCCTTATGTCGCTTCCATTTCTGAGCAAAGAGCGAGAGAAAGGATGCCACGTTTTCCTTTGTTTTTAAACCCGTAGTTCATCTACTCTGCGTGCCAAATTATTATCGAGATTTTTTTTAATATTTCAAAAACCGTCCAATCAATTCACACAAACATTTCACACAATGTTGGCATCAGTGACCAGCGCAATCACTGAAATTTTCGTACTGATCTACGCATTGTAAATAAACTGGCGCCATATTTGTTTTCAGTGCGGTGATTTGACCGTGCCAAATTATTAGAAAAGTGTAAGAATTTAGTGAAAAGATGGGCCGTAAAAGCAGTTTAAGTGATTGAGTAATTGATTCAGCGGTTTTTGAAATATTAGAAAAAAGTTATCTTGATAATAATTTGGCACGCAGTGTATATGCTACAAGTTCGTAACAATATATATATATATATGTGTGTAGTTGTGTGTGTGTGTGTGTGTGTGCATATGAATTTATAATTAAGGTAATAGGGTCCTGAAGGAAAGCGAAAAGAAAAGATTAAACATGAACTGCAATAAAACAAAGTACATGGTTGTTAGCAAAAGATGAGCCCAGAATACAAATTACAAATCGGAGATACCAAAACCAAAGAAGCGCTGAAATTTAAATATCTGGGAAGCGTTTTAATGCAGGACGGAATGTATGAAATCCGAAGGCGTATTGGGATAACCAAGGAAGCATTCCAAAACCTAAAAAGAGTACTAAGTATTAGACACATTTCGCTAGAAACAAAAGAAAAGAGTTCTAAACACCTATGTGATATCATTCCCCACCCCTGTTTGGTAGTGAGTGCTGACAATCTCCTTAAAATGAAGAGGAGATTTGAAGTAACTGAAATGTGGTTCTACAGAAGCATGCTGAGGATAGCAAGGAATGAACATGACACAACTATAAATATAACTTTTATTCTAATGAGAAATAATATCGGGTTAAAATATGTTAAATCCGTGTTTCTTTACGGCAGCGAATGCTGGGGATATCATGTACCGAGCGTGTGAGCAACGATGAGGTCTTAGGGAGGATGCAAACAAGGAGAAGGCTTATACTTAACATCAGGAAGAGGAAACTGGAACACATAATGAGGAAGGAGGGCCTAGAGATTCTGATACTCACGGGTCGAATAGAGGGAAAGGGAGACAAAGGGAAAACAACGCATGGCATACTTAGTGGGCTTAAGCAAGTGGATAACAGAACGTAGTCTGGGGGAGGTGGCAGAGGGAAGGAACTTGTTGAGAGCGGCAAGAAACAGCGGGAGGTGGAGAGCCATGATCGACTACGTCCTGAAAGGACATGGCACCTAAAAAGAAAAAATTGCGACACCCCCCCCCCCACATATATATATATATTTTATAGTGATGACTGCGGTCAATATTGAGTGGCGATGGTCTGTTTCATGTGTGTTGTGTGGTGACTCGACTATCTATCTATGCTAATCAATGGAGCATTATGGATAATAAGGTTAGATATTTTCGATTTAGCGGATTATCCTAACAGTTAATGAGTAACGGTAACGGTTATATTTCAAATTGTTCTAAAGGATTATTAGTAGAAATATTTTTGGTCAGAATCCAATTATTTGTAGTCAAATAAACAAATTAAAGAACTATGGATACACGCATAGACAAAGTAAATTTACTAATACAGTGTAACGCGGATATAAGAGACCCGGATATAAGAGAAACCCGGATATAAGAGAGATTTTATCTGGTCCCAAATTAGAGCCTGTGTTAATGTATATAAATTAGACCAAACCCGGATATAAGAGACTTCTTCTCCGGTCCCGACAACTCTCTTATATCCGGGTTACACTATATATATATATATATATATATATAAATATATATATATATATATATAGTGTAACGCGGATATAAGAGACCCGGATATAAGAGAAACCCGGATATAAGAGAGATTTTATCTGGTCCCAAATTAGAGCCTGTGTTAATGTATATAAAATAGACCAAACCCAGATATAAGAGAAACCCGGATATAAGAGACTTCTCCGGTGCCTGCAACTCTCTTATATCCGGGTTACACTGTAGTAACCGGCCAGCAAATATTTGAAGAAATACAAAATACTTTAAGTAATGAATAATAAATAATGATTTAAAACAAAAGAAACAAAAAACACTACAATAAGTAAACATAACCGCTTTCTCCCTCTCCCCCTCTCTCTCTCTTTCTCTCTCTCTCTCTCTGTAT